ATTGCATTGGGATGCATTCGAGAATTAATCGTGGAGACGACCTAATTGTTGCATTTCGCAGAGGTTTTCTCAATCTTTCTCCCATCCGCCCTGGAACTGGAAGATCTGCGCATATAAATGTATGTATACTGTACCACAAATACGACTCAGATTTCACACCAATTATTTAGTATTAATGCACGACGTCGCGTATGCACATAGATATATGAATACAATCATCTCTATTAGCAAACAACATTTTGCAAAGAGTGACATGTCGATCCCACACAGGAAGTCTGCATCGTGGTCTAGAACTATGGGAATGATGCACGCAGAACTCATGAAGGATTTACACCGAATGGAATCTATAGGTACAAATCACTGACTGACAAGATACAATGTGTCATGGTTACTAAATATCTTTTTTACTGTTGTAAAAATAATATTGGAAAAACAAAGTGTAAATAAACTTTGAGAAGTTACGGTGTACAATATAATACTGCTTCCGATCGGATCGCCTACGTGAGGATGAAAGAGACTCCCTAGCCAGTCTCGAGAGTGATCCAATAAAGCTAGGTAACTGTTATCATATTGTCAATACCAGTATAGTTGAATTGACTTTATTTTTGGAACACTCAACATATGATATTTGATTTCAGAAAACTAGAAAAATCACATAACCACAAAAATCACAAAAATCAAATTAAAAATTGTGGGTATTTGATCCACTGGCTCCATGTTAAATAACGCATGCGCAGGTTTTCATATTGTCGTCCATGACGACTTCAAATAAGGTGTTACCCACTAGCGGATTCGCCATCAATTGATAAGCCCCTGTGGTAAAACCAATATAGAAAACCACCTGTACACTGTTTTGTTGATGGATGTCACGTGCTTAAGCGCGTGATTCGTCGGCTGATCTGCACTGGCTCGGAAGATGAAGTCTGATTGGCTAAAAAAACAAAAAAACTTGTGGCGTTGAATGCACGTTCATTGTCAGTATTGTTATGCAAATTCAAACTAGCTAATCATTTACAACCTTCCGAGCCAGTGCAGATTAGCCCTGATTCGTGGGCGAGTGGCACGTGATAACATACACCGGCAGTTCAGGGTTGTCATGCACATCACGATCGAGTTGTCTTCCTTGACAATCAGCCCATTGTTCATGTATACAACGACACGCAACTACCACGTTGCAACCACAAATAAGTAGTTCTTTATTGTAAGGTTTTGTATCATTTTTACAAAGTTAATAGCTCTATAGATAGCATGTATATATATATATATATATATATATATATATATATATATATATAGAAGAGTATAGAAGTAATATATATACCCTTAGAATTTGGAAACGATGCACTTCCGGTCCATTTTACAAATTATGAAAAGCGAAAACAACTCATTCATAATAAAACATTCGAGTTACAGGCAACATACAATGTTAAACCAAACATAAAATCTATGTTGCCCCTAACTCGAAGTTCGTTAACTGAACATCGAGTTATAATTTGGGCGTGGTGTTACAAAAGTGAGCGTTGTTTATAAAATATGAACGTGGTCTTTTTTGTAACTCGATGTCCGTAACTCGAACAATTTAGCATCTCTTATTTTTCACATATTTGGAAAGTGGGAATGCAACTTTGAAAATGAATAAATAACAATATATGTTTCAGCTAACGGGTCAAAACAGTTTAGAGCGGTTAGGAAGGATTTTGATTTTAGTTTTTTATTTATTACTAGAAATGTTGTAAAATGTCATGAAGGCCACATCAGACAGTGATCCAGATGACAATGATGATCGCGAGAATGACATGGTACTCATATATCACCAGTGACTCGGACATTAGTAATTTTCAATAACATGAATTTCAGTGAATGCATGAATGAAAGTGAAACAGTGACAGTGGTCATCACAAGGAGAAAAAACAGGCCCAGACTAGGCTTGAGCTATGAAACAAAGTTGAGTTTTTTTTTGTTTTTTTTGAACGCAATATCGTGTTTAGAGGACATTCCAAGACAGAACTGTATTACAGAAAAAACTGTGAAAAACTGGTACATCACATAGGAGCCACGTATAATGATGATGATGGTGGGGATAACTACCATTATGCAGAATAGATGGTTTTTAAATGTTCCCACATTACATTCAAAATGAAAGTGAATATTGCATTAGTAATTACAAAATATGACTGAGTCTTATACCCATGTTTATATGCCACTTATTCAAACTATTTTTTTCAGAATGAAAATGAATTGTGATTACCCACGTGTTATACAATTTCAGCCTATCTGTGAAATAAAAAAAATCGTTATTTTCACGTGAAAAACTCGCGTTTTTTTTTTTTACACAAAATGAATTAGGATCGCAAAACCCTGATTGATGCACAACTTATATATTTGAATCAATTATTGGGCAGACTGGGAATATAAATGAGTTTGGTGAGTTCATCGATTAATTGGTATCGCACAGTAACCGCACCATAACGCATCACCCAGAATGTACGATATATTGCTGCCAAACAGTCACAGCGCATGCGTAAACAATTGCTTCCTCCTATGCTGCATTTCAACACTACGTTTGATGTAATGACGCAACAAGAACACAATCAATTTCAGCTCACTGATATGAAACTACCTCGCCTCTTTCAGTCGGCATTTTAATTTAATTTCCTGTGATAAACTTCGCCATCTGGACCACCAACGCCCACAAGGTCGTTAGTCGGGGTTATCCACGGACATTGCCCTTATTCAGACCACCGCGATTTAAAATTCGCTAAACGTAGCTGATCCGTGATGTGATTAGCGTTGGATTTAGTTATTCAGTCAATGACAGTGAAATAGTAATAAACAGACTGAGTACATTGTCAATGTCATATGTTATTCATCGCCTCATTACTAATTACATATACAGGATACGCTGAATGATAATCATCACAAAATAATTTACCAAAATATTTTACATAAAGTTCATTTGCATAGTAACAACTAAACACCCCGATAACCTACTCAATAATACGATGATCACAATACATATACACAGTCTGGCAATGAATAAGTTATCTGATCTCGACACCGTATATATATTATTCAACCTTCCTTTAAGTGGTGCCCTCTATCGACGACACGATATCGTGACGTTAATAATGTCGTTTCAAACAACAAGTGTGTTCGGTTTCATAGTAATTTATCATTTAGAATATAGTAAATTACGTCAAAGAAGAATGACCAATAGAGGGCGCATTTTATAGGAACGGTGTACCTAGTTTGGTTTTAAGAACCCAATAAGTGTAACTTACTCGGATATACGCGCGGAATGGAACTCCACATTGAAAATAATACAGTCAAATAGCTTTTACAACCATTTTTGGATTTTTTTTGGAACGTTCAAGGTAGAGTTGGACACACATTCTGAATCGACGTTCTTTTACAAAATAACCTTATAAATCAACCCATCCCTCCCAACCCAACAAATACACTAATGCACACCGCTGATATATTACAGTGTAGGAATGACTTTTTTAAACACTCGATTCGTAAAAAAAAGCAAGAATACGGATAAACAAAAATAAATCAATATCAAATTACCTTTGTGTACATTACACCGAATAACTAACCCTACGAAAATACAAAATCGCAGTACGACTGCACAAGATAAATATATTACTGTCATTGAGTATAAAACATGTTACCAATCTAGTTATCTAATTCTCCATTTATTGTATTTATAACCTCGTTTTGAACAGCTTCGAATACACATTTTGTATACCCGAAGTTAGTAGAATATTAAATCCAGTTAGTTTGATGTTTTCACCTGCTCGTTGTTTTTTGCAATACTAAACAAGCTAATAGTGTCAGTTACAAAGTTTTAGTTGAATAACCTGACGATATCGACATCTCGGCCACGTGTTACAATCACGCGTCATACGATAGGAGACAATACAATGAAAAAAAAGTTCAAGAACTGACAGTTGAGTAAACCAGCAAGGTATACTACATACTACCAACATGTTTTATGGGCAAAATAAAGAACGGTTGTCGATTCCAACAAAAATGATTAAAAAGAAAAATGTTGAATCTCTTGAAAAGTTGTTATCAACTTGAAAGTTGCATTCCAACTTCACAATCTGTGAGGTACTACCCACTGTCAATATACACTATCAAATGTTGAGCTTGAGAAAATTAGCTGTAGAATATGAATAAACTGCGCCTACTACAATTGACACTGAATTAGGTGGCTTTGTTTGTCTTTGATAGGATCCTTCCTACTTCCAAATAAAATTTGTTAGAACAGGATTATATACTTTTAAAGCTAAAGCAGTATTTGAACATATTTTATGTTCAGCTTGATGATGTTTCGTATATTTGCAAAGTGGAAATGCAACTTTAATAGTTGCCAATTAATTCACTCAAAAGACCAGGTCGGGCATGTACCCCCCCCCCTATTTATTCAGTTTTAATTCGCGTGCTAGTCATCCTGTAAATAATGGTATCGCCCGGATCCATAAACCACATGAGGTACGCAATGACGTAGACAGCTATTATCCAAAAAACAGATACCCAGATGGCGATGTGAGCCATGGAAGCATAGTCATCGCTGTAAGACGGAGCAACGTTGATAGTGGATGGCGTTACTTCAGAACTAGGAGCCTAAAAGTTAAAAAGAACCAACATTTTGTTCAGATATACAGAAGTTATTGTTGTTGCCATACCTGTCAATGTCATTCCAAAACATACACAAAAATAGAAATACAAAAATAATGCAATTGAGGCTCCATACTTGTGGAAGAAATATTCTTATCACTTGAGGAGATGATGCTGATCTACCTGCTGCTTGATAACCGAGAATTTTGACAAAAAATATGGGATACAAGAATGTACCAACTTCTACAACTTGAAAGCACACTATTTTTGTGTAAATTGAACGGCCTAAGCAACCATCGCCATTGCATGTAGTCAATGTGTCAATATCTGAGCTACAAGCCATATTTCTGCCTTTTACTGTCTAACAATTTAACTTTACCATTAAGCCAATTGAATGTTTCCATCGATTAGAATGGGAAAACAGTACCGGCATAAATCACTGGGAAAACTTTCGAGATATTGAAGAAGTTGAAAAAAACGTTTCGCCATTAGTTTAAAATTGTCTGGTGCTCTTTTGCATTTCTGAATCATAAGAACCCATAATTATGAAAGTATAATTATATATAATCACACACAATTTTCTTTTAGGTTAATGTCAGCAAACACAATGAATATCCAGAGGCTCAGAATGTTACAAAATTCTGGCAGTTATCACGAGTAAGCTCTGGGCAACTTTCAGTTTGATGCGCTCTACTTATTATCAGCACAAGGTAGATTTGGATACAACTCATTTTCAAGCTCCTGTCGGTTAACACAGTTATGTTCAAATCACCCAGTTACTTAATCTGTTTTACGCTCTAATTCTGAATGAAATGTTCGCTTAATTAAATAAAAATACGCATGGTTTGCGTTAGGAAAGTGCAGTCCTTTCAATGTTGTTGGGGCATTAGCTTAATATACAAATGTTCGAATCCGTTCAAGCCAGAAACAGTATTCAAATATTCACTAAACGGAGATGTTAGGAAATCCTTTACAGTGAACTTGGAAACAGCGTTTAATTATTTTTTCTCAACTATATATGGCCAAGAATCTGTTTGTTGTTTTCCTATAGTTTTAGTGCATCTCACTGCGTTGTTTTCGTGCGTATCAAATTGTTCGGAGTTCCAGATTTTTGATCTACCACGCGTTACGTGACGATGTGGTAATACACAAGTTATGCATGTGATAAAACATTCTTCTTAATTAAGGGATACATTACCTTAGTAGGGGCAGGTGTGGGGTCGTCCCTCTTCACTCTTAACATTCGTGGGTCATTTGATGTCAGTGTCACTACCTCCATCATAAGGTCATCGTCATAAAGAGAAACCATTTTTTCTGTAAACTGCAAAAAGAATTGAATAAAATAAATAGTGCAAGTAGTAAAACACTAATAACTATATATAACCTAAAATGCCGTGACAGAAGTCACCAGGGAATAAAACTAGCATGTATTGTAAAAACTGAGATACTGAATTGTAGCTTTTCAATGTAACCCAGTTTTTTTTTATAAATATTGTTGTACGTGCTATTGAATGAGTGTGATGTTATATCTACTTCAGACATATCCAAGACACAACTGAGTATAAAAGACTACTAACCTTTTTGATGAAAGACGACAGTACTCTGAGCCCATCGCTGGCCTGTACTGAGTTCAAACCATATTGTAATTGTATAAGATGTATACCAGCCAACGAGAACGAATAGATGTCTGGCACACCGTCGGTTGCTAGATGCTTGTTTTCAGTGACCTGTAATTAATAGAAAACCCATGAATTGTAGATTCGCAACTTCACGTCACAGATGTGTTACAAAACACATCAAAACATACACATTAGTTACATTTTGATACTGGTGTGAAATTGAAATGTTGCGCGTGTGATTAAAGTGACTCTAGTGGTATGCATTCACAAACGTTTGTATGATAACTCCCTTTAATTATTTTAAATTCCCACTGCCACATGATGTCAAGTTTAAGGTGCTTGCCAGTCTACAGTAGGACGCTCTCCGACTTCCCAAACCAAATTCCCGTTTCTGGTGAATCAATCAATCAGAGACAAACATCAGCATACACACAATATTCTTTCAATCAAAACAAAACAGGTTTGACGAAATGCTAGCTACGACCACTTAATATATAATGGTTTGGCTGTGTAAAATTTTGCACGATCTGATTAGATTTCCGAGAACCGAACTTCCTTTCACTTTCAAGCGTTAGCACAGTCCTCGTGCCGTGTTCATCATGAGCTATACGCCACGTATACAACGCGCGTAAAATACATTTTTGTTGACATGAACGCCCATTGCGCGACTGGGCGCTTTACTCACTGCCAAGTGTTTCACAGAAAGTTATGTAAAGAAAACCGAGACAGTCTTTAACCACAGAGGGACTGTGCTTTAACCATCAGTTAAAGTTTAGCAGTTTAAATATGCTAATACCCTATTATACCTCACAGGCAATGTATCTGCATTACGTAACGATCACCAAGACAATGGAGAATACGCGCTACATTGTGAAGTGTAATCTGTATGGCGTAATCCATATAAGAAACCCGCTATTAATAAAGGTAGCATAGCTCCATGTCGGCGACCAACAAAGGATAATTATCAACTGTTTCACTGTTTCGTTAAGTTTAGATTGCAAAGAGCCGTAGGATGTATTTCACTGACGTACTAGTACTTGCGTCAGATTAACGACCCTAGTATGGTGTACACTCATAAGACACAAGAAGGAGCTTAACTATATATATGTATATACATTCAAATTTAAAAACCGTAAAATAGTTCAAGCGAGTTGTTTTTGCTGTCATTGAAGTTATATAATTAAAACTTGTTTGTATACATATGTTATTACGTTTCGTATCAATGCGTCCAGTCATCCTGGTAATATAATTCAATGAACCCAACAACACCATACAAATTCGTCGAGGGGGAGGGGGTTCTGGGCTAAAACAGTAGATAAAACAAATGAGACGTACACTATGGTGACTGGAAACCCAGAAGCATCTCATATCGTGAACACGGCGTTTATGAACGCAAATATGCGCATACACTTCTCTATGCTACGACAGCTTTCTGAAGATGTGCATCAGAAATACACCAAGCAAGATGTTAATGAAAACGAAAACGGCTGATTGTTTTTTGGACAAAAATGATCGACAGTCGGTCAAATTTTACCTACTCAAAATACATATGAAATGCATATCAAAAGAAACAGTCGAGGCATATCCAAGAAATTATTTTGCACCCGAAAAACAAGACTGCGTTATAGGAGTACGCCCAAATGGGAGAGCCAGAAATCGGAGTGGATTCGGAACTATTGTGAGCCTACGTGGATAGACAGTAAGATACAAGACCATCTTACTGTCAGACAAAACAAATTATTCACGGCAATATAATATAAAATCGTGAAGCCAGAATTAAGTTTTTCCAATTTTAATTCATTTCAATGCACAATAACAGAATCACTTGGGAAAAATATTGTTGTAAATAAATTCTGATCAGACACATCACACAGGCGACTTTGAAATAGGTCACTGATTTCCGTCATTAACTATCTGCATTTTATAGCCACAACAAATATAATGCACCACAGTCATGTATCTCAATACAGTGTTCTTAATTATATTATTGAGTCTATTTTCGTACTAACTAACGATGCATTTAGCTACACTTTGAAACCGCAATGGATAAACACTGTATCTCATCAACTGAATCCTATAGTTGCTAGGCAACGATTTGTCACGTGGTTGGTGTAATGGCCTGGTTGGCATGGAAATATGTGACGTAAATAGGCTTTATATAACGATTCTGCAGTGTAATTGTATTAATTCGGAGTACTGCAATTGTCAACAGAGCGAGTGCCAACAAAAATGATAGCTCCATTTCACATTGTTGATATTATATTAACTTGAATAGTAAAAATATATTCCAGTTGGTCTGAATAAACAACTGTTCAAAAAAAGTTCTTTGACTTCACTGAAGCACAGGGTAAAGAAATCATATTGATCATCTTGTTATATCAGAAATACGATGCACGTAGATTTATCACGCATCGTACTAGACAATCCATGTAACGCCGTAAGTGCCATAGTCAATGCGCCGCGTTATGCTCGATAGGAGTTCTAAGCGACAAGTATGACGCTCTATAATGAACACGTAAAAATTGTCTATCGCCACGTGGCTTACAAGGTGATGGTAAACTGATCAATTTTGTAATATCAGAATTAACAAGCAAACACCACTTGTTTTTTATCATTAAAACTCGCTTATGTCAATAGTATATTCAAATAACGAAATGAGGCATATTTGTTTTACCTGATTTATATAAGCCATATTTTAAATGTCTTTGCCAAAATGGATAAATAAACATAACAATTTTGAATGCAAAGTTTTTAAATGGAAATTTTTTAACTAAAAAAGGTCGATGGCCCCTATTTTTGTTTAGAAATTTAGAAATAAACTGTTGTAAAGTAGTGTACAGCCAGGGTCAGTCAAGAGTCATTCATAATACGAGCTGAGGTACAACATGTACAAACAGTCTGTGAGTCTGTACAATAACACTCAACACTTCACCTCACAAACCCAACCAACCTATTAGTAGTTCAAGGACAGGTCACCGTTGTGTAATATTCACAGTACTGTTAATCCTGGCCAATGCGCACATAAAGTGACTCTATAGGGAATGCGTACTAGGACATAGGGACCATACGTGCTATCGGGAGGGAATTCGCTTATGTTTGCTATAACAATATGTTTTATATAAACACGTAGAACAAAGTGAACCTCTTTTACGAAATAATATATTGGGTCTAATGGTAGCACCAGGCTTCGCGTTACTATTTTTTGATAAAACACAAAGTTCTGTCCATACACAGTCCCTATATAGGCTATAGAAGGACTGTGTTCCATAGTATTAAAATGATCTAAAGATACTCGTTAAGAAAAATGATTATAAAAAATATTCATGTTATATTAATTTTAAAATAATTTTAAATTAATTTTATACAAACTTTCAAGAATACACATTTTCCGAAACTGTTTTTATAACGTGGATTACAAGCCGTTTGAGTTATATCATATTTTTGCTTGAAGGGGATTTATCCAAAACAAAAAGCAGGTAAGATAATAATAGTTGATAATACAAATTATGTCTACTATTTTGTTAATTGCGTGATGACAGATTGTTGGTTGTTGTTGTTGTTGTTGTTGTTTTTTCAAACAGAGTGGATACGTTCCTCGATTTGTTCAATCTCAAATCAAGATTATAATGTCAAGATAAAACAATCATTTTTTTGACAATATTTTTGAAGTTGTACTCAACATATGAATCATTGCAAAAAGGTAAATGATAGGCATTGGATTTATTTACACATACTAAACTTTTATTAAAATCACCTCTGTGATGAAAAGCAACAACTGTGTTTGGTTGTGGAGTCGTTCATCATTTAAAATGTACTGAAATAATTTTCATTGATGAACGATCGTCACGACAGATCAGAACAATATCGACGATTTGAACGGCATTCGTGTCACACATTTGCGTCATAGAAGCGCTTCATCTGTTTGTTAACAAAATTTAATGTCCATAGAAAAACCACCCAAACGTATGACGAAAACGTGTAACTCACCATATCAGCGATTTCTTGCATTATTTGTAGTTCGCTAAGAAATGTTATGTCGGGCTCCCTGGAGTAGTTTAATGAACCCATATCGTATGCAAAAAGGACCGACGATTGGCTTTTCAGCAGAATTGGTTGCATTTCTTTCAACGTGGTCGGTAATGCAGTGAACAGTTGAGGATTCTTCCACTGTTGGTTGAACAACTATAAAGAGAATATTGAATTTGATTGATTAATGCGACACAATCAATACACATGCTTCTGCTAAAAAAGATAAATCCTTAACACAATAATTAAACGAATAATATGTGATATATCAAAGATGCAACAAACACAAAGTCGAATATCGTATGGAACAGACAGACTAAACACAATGCTCTCTACGTCTTGCTTGTGATGTGACACTGGAGTTCTTTTAAGGTAGATATGCAGTTTACGTGACAGGTATTTTAATTAGTTAATTAGGAAATCAAGATGACATCCCTTGTCCACAAAACTATATATTTTCGGAAAGCTTATTGTATAAATTTTAAAATTTTGTTAGTATTTTTTTATGGACACTGTAGTTTGAAATATGCACAAAAATGTGCTTTTTTGGTCAAAAGTGATTCAAAAAAAAAAAAGCTTCTAAACCATGCTTCTGTTCCCTGTCAAAATTGGTTTATGGGTACATCTGTTTACTATGAAGAAAGTGCCGTCTTGAAAACTGTCTACCAGTTGTCAATTTTGCAGGGCAGCAGCTCAAATTTCACTACTTCAAGTTTATCATAAATTAACACCCAGGCTAGTTGGAGTATGATTATTGTAACACTGTTCAACCAAAGACAAATTTAAATATATTACCGTTTTGTAAAAAGTTAAATATAGTGCAATATGGAGATGCCGTCATTACTTTTTTCACCATGTTTCTTTTTTATTATTTATGTACAGCCTTGCTAAATCTTGCTAAGCATTCAAAAAGAGAATGTTTGCACCTTTTATCTATATTTTAAAATCATTTTTTGAGTATGTTCCACTATTCACAATTCTACAAAATTTTAACAGTCTATAGCCAAGACTGTTTGGATAATAAAAAGCAAAAAAAAATTCACTCTGAGAGTGAGGTTTCACATAATATTAGGAAAGTGGAAATGCAACTTTAACAACAAGTTTTAACTTTTTTGAAAATATGCAAGGACGACACGGTTGAATTTGCAGATGTGAAAGCACTAACGCATGATCTCGTGCTAACCGTATGTAATACAAATAATTGACGGCTATTTTGTGGAGAGAAATTCTAAACACACATATGCATGCTTACCTTTCCACCTGCAGTGATGTCGACAACTAGTGGTGACTTATCTTGAAATAAATTACCAACACAATTACTGACAAACTCTGTGTTTATCAACGGCACGTCCTAATAAGGTAAAGTAATGTCATTAGAATGACGGGCATTCACCGTGATGCAATATTGAATTCAAATTGAGACATCGTGCAAGACCAGTTAGATTTCTATTGACCCCGTGATGGAATAATGATTTTTTACATCTAATGTTTTATGATTTTCGCTCACAGTGTATCTGGGCACCATGCAAGAATAGAATTAAAGGTCGAAATGACTAACACACAAGTTTGGCAAGTTTCAATTTAAAATAATTGAGTAGTGCTCAATCAACACAGTGTGAACAATTACAAAATCACTGTTTCCATAGAAACATGTTCGGGTATCTCCTCTTTTTGAATTACTCTTTGTCGTTTATTTAGTGAAAGCTTAGTTCAGCAAAATATCCGGAATTTGTGGTTCTTGTAGAAAAATAAGCCGGGTGACTGAGTGGTCTGGTATTTCAAGGCTGACATCAAAACAAGGGTGCGCTTACAGTTTATATTCCTTACCTTAAGAACAGGATAATATGTTCCGACTGCACCCAAGTCAAAAACGAGATCTCCATCAAACCCTTCAACTGTGACCAGAACGTTTGCTTTAGGGCGACGAAACAGGTTACCGGAGGACAAACCAGACCACTTCAGCTCCTGCAAAAAATATACATGTCATAAACAGGTTTAATTGTTTTAGCTCATGCAGGTGAATGGACTATGAAAAATATGTGTAAATGTAATTCTAACACGAATGACATCCGCGTTTTGTTACGATCTATGTATAGTTTCTATTTTGCCCTCAATTACAATTTCACAGTTCAATCATCTCACACACAATATTTCGCAATTGTAGATTGTTGCTCTGAGTATGCACCGTCCATTGTAATAATTACAGAGAATTGTCCTCAAGCACCGAGTCACGCACCAATATACATGTATGCATAAACAAGCACACAAAATGTCACACTATTTTGGCTATGTTAACTAATGACATGTATTGCTCTATCGATAATAGAACACAATAGTACCAAACCAATTCAGAAAAAAAAAATAACGGATTGACAACTATGACAACTCAATTACGAATAATGAATCCTAATCCTAGGTTTCATCAGCACATCGTTCCGGTAACAGTAACAGACATATTCAGCAGAACATCTGAATGCATTTTATCACGACGTTAAAAAGGGACTACTAGTAACATGGGTCTAGCTCTAATCAAGCATCCGTCAATGCATTATAATCAATACATTTTAACAGCTGAACGAGGTAGCAATTCTTATATGATCTTCCAGCCCAATAAATATCCTGTGATCACAAACAACTCACGAACGTTGAATAACGGGATAATTATGATATAAATAATAGCACAGTGAGGTCATGTATGTCACGAAGCTACGCCCTGTACTATTATTCGAAAACAAACAACATGACGCAAAATAACGCAGTAACCATGTATTGCCGTTTGACCATTTATAATGACTGATATATTGAAGGCCACGACGAATAGTAATTATATTATATTAAAATAGATTCAAAGATTTAAACGGGGCAATTATTCAGTTTGCCAGCTCAATAGAATTTCTATAGAAAATATTCGAAAAAGTGTTGCATTTGATAAGTACACGAGTCGACCAGCGGATTTAACTTCAGTTAGTCGTCACTGTTCTTTCACTGTGACAGGACTGGACAGACTCAATCCGTGCATGTTTAATTTCACTACACAGTATCAATGAGCATGTGTGTCGCATATAAAATTGCCTCTGTAGCAAATTCGCAATTCTGCTGACTTATGACGATTACGAATACGGAAAATTAGTTTGCAATGAGGCATCCAGAAAAACTATGACAGAGAAGCAACAAGTTCAAGCTCACGTAACTTGTTATTACAAAATACGACGAACATTGTTGGTGTGCCGCGCCTAAATAATTAATAATACAAAGGAGCCATGACGGTTTGAATGGTACCCAAGCTTTGTTGGAGTCTTTCTATAGGGGGATTAATTGTACTCCTGAGATTGAGTTGTGTATTATATATGACCCAACTAATAGGTCAAACTAAATAATATTAAGATTACTCGGTCTAACTTTGTTGTTTTGCGTGCGACGTGACAAAGGGGCAAGGTGGAAAATTGTGAAAGCTGTAGGTAAGTTCGATGCCATTCAGACTTAAACAGAATAAGTTATCACTGTATTATATTTGCAACGCGACACAAAGGTAAAACGGTCATTTACGTGATGGGAAAATCTAATGTATAAATTTAAACAGTATGGGAAGTTGAAAAAGATCTGACTAGAAAGATAGATAATAGGGATTTTTTAAACTTTATTTTAGTTTTCCGGAAATTTAAATTTTGAAGCACGATTGTTCATCAAGATTTGGACATATATTAAAATATTCAAATTAGGTTTAAATGACGTCAGTCTATCAAACGCAAATTGGGGAAATGATATTTTTGGAAGAATTATTCAAGGATTGTCGCATGGCCCCTAGGTTTCCAATATTCTGCCTACGGGTGAATTGTTTTATAATTCACAATGAAGTGCACATCAAAAACACACCGCCAGCAATTACATCACAATGAAACATATGGCGCATTTCGTTTGCATCATTGGTAAAGTAGTAATCACAAAATCCAACTTAGAGCTATGAAATGTGTCAAAAATTGGCCATACTTTGTATTTGGGAAGGCGTTTGAACAGCTCTGCAACAACTCTACGCCATGTAACTGCCAGTTCACGAGAATGATCCTACCATGGCGATTATATTGTTTCATAACAATTCAGAATGAATTTACACAATCCTTGGTTCTGACGCGCACGGATGGGGCCACTATACCCAGTCACCGTGACCAGGGTCGAATAGTGTCCTACAGCATTGGTTCGTACGACGACGGCCACTGGAACAAGCGAATAATGGTTTCGTACTAAAATCCTAGAGTGTTTACTTATTCCAATTATTTTTTAATGAAAATAACCATGGCGTGGCATCGGTACTGTGATCCAATGTAAAACGCACAGGGTTTAACCTTTTCACCACCAGTCCCCGCTTTTCATCACAAATTCACTTTGAATTTTTACTCACTCGGTCTATTTTTGTTTAAATTACCGAATCCCTGTCGTTCATCTCGTAAGTTCTCATCCATTGCCTAATACTCGCGTCACGCTTTTAGGGACGACGGGTGAACCTCGTTTGTCATTAGTGACTGGTGATTATGAAGTGAAACGAACTAGTGCAAAATTGAGCTACTTGTTGCCAAGTTAGATACAAAAATACGCCTTTTATCCGTTTACCGAGCTGCAAGTTCCCACCTACACAAAATACCCGGCCACACTGGTATTACGCGTTGTAGCAGTTGAAAATGTCTAAATGAAAAAAAAGGCTCTGTTCGAATGAAATGTAATACTTTTTATGGAACTATACAAATAGAACTAGAATGTATTTACTTTTTACACATTTAAAATGACCATAGTGGATGAACAACTGCAATGATATTTGCCCGCAATGTACTTATGTGGCATGGCATGATCTGTGCAGTGACTGCGCGTGGGATAATTTTGGGATCAGCCATTAATAATAGTAAATAAATCAGTGGCCATTCGTCACGGCTCCATATACATGTTGATTAGGTTGTACGAACAATGAGATAACTAAAATGTCGGAATATAATATGAAATGAACAAACACGTCCATCTGTATATGTAAACTAACCATTGTCAATCGTTTAATATAAAATAAATCAATCCTGAAATTTCTTCTAGTACAGTCCGTACGTCAAAGATAATGAGTATTTTAACATATAAAAACACAATATAATCCCTGTCAGCGATGAAAGGGTACTACGTGGCAAATAATGTGACGTCATTACCTCTATATATTATTACGACTGAAAGGTCAGACAGTGACTGTCACATTATCATTTTCAACAAGGCATAACACAAGTGATATACACCCTCGACAAAGACATATAAGGAAACGGAAATCCGCTACCATTTACCCCCGAGAAGACCCCCATTTAAACCCAATAACGAGTGTTTGGTGGTCGAGCAGATTGTGTAGTTTATACCGCCGACTGAGACGTCGAACGGTGGGATTCAAAATACAACCTCCCCATGGCGGGGCGAGATGAATACAAAACCATGCCCAAAACAGAAACTTGCACGATACATGCATAATACAACACGTGATTTAAGTGCCAAGGCCGTCACGCAGCGCGTGCTTTATACGCGCGACTACAGTGGCGCTTCTAATCAGCGCGAGTCGGCAGAAAAGAGTGATCACACCCTGATACGTAACAGCCGCCATGTTGTTATTAGCATGTTAACCATTCTCAAGTTGTCTGGTATTGCTACTGGCATTTTATCATGTTTAGTATATAATTCAAGTTCACAACATCGGTTTCGTTACAAATTACCTGTTTTAAGGAACGTTTACTCACAAAAGTGAAATAAGTAGTTAATTTTATTGCAAATAATAATTATAAACTGATTCCCATATGGAACCACGATATAATTATACATGGTTTCTGTTCGGTATCCTCTGGGCGGGGCTAGGGCACAGAACGTTCTATGTTGCTCAGACGCGCACACTGTACCATGTATTTATGTGGGCTCTGTGTGAGCTGCTGTGAAACGCTGGTCGAATGGCCGGTGAAAACAATAAGTCGCGAAAACAGCACAAACTCAACTTTGAAGCAATCCTGAGCAACCGAATTTATACACGTTGCACATGTAGGGGTAATCTTGTTACACTGTTCGGTAGAGTCTCAACAACTGTCCTAAAGTACAGTTTTATGGGAGTTTTCGGCCTTTGAAAATGCCCGGATGTCCACCCTGAGGATATCACTGGTCATTTGAAAAAATACAAATAGTGTTCTTAAAATCTGCATTAGTTAATGAGGCTAATAAACAACACGGTGAATCATTGAATAACAATATGTAAATGATGGATTCAGCACTCGGACTATTACGGGCCTCTGTACAAAGACCAAACCACCAGGAGAATTCGGACTGACCACCTGTAGTATGTCATCACCATATGTTTAACCAACAGAATGAGAACCGCCGGTATAAATAACTTCCTGACCGAGTTATATATATATTATAAAAAATGCCCACAGCCGGCATGTACACGAGTACACGATCAAGGATATACTAGTATACACTGCACGAATATGTAACATGTTGTCATATAGTCACAGTCAACGTTATAGCAAACACCTTGATCAGGCTCAGCAACGTCCCTGGTTGAATTCAAACACCCATACTTTCCACACTAAAAGTTGGATGAATATTCATAAATTGATCATTATACCTGCCCATGGAGCTCTTTTATTTTTGCGCCATGACTTTCCACACCTTAATATCCGAACTACACGGGGTATGTCCAACGCATACACCTATATACTGTACGCATATACAACCCTCTATATATAGGTACACATAATGCACGGATGAGCGCTACTCCCATACATGTGCATTTCAATACAGAGTTTCTGAGACATGAATACAGTCTGAGAGTACAATTGACTAAATGACTCAACTAATTTACAAATTGCAATTAGTCTAAATTTTCACAATCACAAATTCTCAATCACGAAACAAGCTCGAGTACCCAGTCTTCGTATTTGCCATCAAACTGTTTGTAAAGTGAAAATAACCGTAGATCTTAGTACCAAAGTCACATGGGGAAGAAGTTTAAGGCGAGACGAGACGAGTCGAGATGAGGCGAGACAAGGCGAGACAAGACGAGACGAAACGAGGAAAAAGATGTATATGGACCCCGTGGTATACATACAATGATGTCAGGTGAGAGCACACCCTAACCCTAACCCCACATGTAGCACACGCCATATATTATTGTATAACTACATTTCTCTTATTGTAGTCAATTATTGATGGGTACAACCGATCACATTTCTTTACAGAGTCGGCGACCATGATTGAAATAGAATGATCAAATAACAACGTGCGCTTTTGAAACCGCACCGTGATCGACATCATGGGTCCCATGCAACGTAATACAACTAATATAAAAGACATCATTAAAACAAGATTTAAACTGCACTATATACTCTGCAGGTTGATAATTATTGAACATAAACGTGATTTGTATACACACCTTACTGGCGGAAAACCCGAGAGCAAGAGATATGATATCCGACACTTCGCTAGAACGTACTTTACCGGCATCGGGAGACAACAGCACGTAATTCGGCGTGTGTGTGAAATATAAACCATTATCGGCTAGTATATCAGAACCTGCAAAATAGAAGCACAGATTACTCTGCTATGAGATATGATATACTGCATTAAAAAGATATACGTCATCAATATTGCATGCAATCATTATGCACCCATCAACTGAGAATCCCGCGGATACGCCAAACCAAAGAAACGCCATTTCATTGGAAGTACACGAAACACGCGAGCGGCGTCATTTTCTCAACGAATGTGTACGAGATAGATAAATTTATTTATCAAAGTCGCTGTGTTGCGGTTGTTTATCGATCATAATTGTTGTTGAGGCAACAGCGCCCTCTGTTGAACTCTGACTGTTTATCTATATACATCACTTATAAATATAACGCGATATCACATGGATTGTCGCGTAATACCCTATATGTATTCAGTAAGAGGCTACCCAATTGAAATAGGATAGGGATTTATTCTGTTTTGTGCGTATATTTTTTTCATATAGCTGACGAAAATGTTTGTAATAACAATCCCCGATCGATTTTTCTACATTTATTAAGCATGCGCGTTTTTTTTCTCTCTTCACCCACAGCAAATGCTTTCCACAAAATCCTCCAGTTTTCAAATGGGTAACCCTATAAAGTTAAGTGGGTAACACGACGTGAATCAATCAAGTTGACAGCACAGTACCACCCACTGAAATACTTAATGGCAGAAAATCGTGTAAATGAGGTCAGAGCTACGACATATTTTATATTGCGGCAAGCACAACTGTCCTTGTATTTGTGAAAGGTTGCCAGATTTGTAAGTTGTGGGTGCGTATACAATTGCAATTGTGAGCAACGTATGGTCGTGATAAATGTGATGTGTACTACAGTGTACGTCACGCCATATAAACGTAACCGATAGGATACACAGAGAACTGAAGGTCATTCTGAAACTAGATTATCGATTGGTTGTTGTACGTCGATTAAAATCTACGATGTATGTGACAAATGTTCCAGGGTTTCAAAACGCATCTAGAAAAATAAGGCAATTTCGAGTCAACAATAGGGTCGACCTGAAAAAATAAAATCATCTGCTCATTTTCGAATATTTAAGCCCTCATTAACAGAACCCCGGTGTGTGTCGGGTCAGACGTGTCAGAATCGCGAGCATTGACAGTTTCAATAGATCTTATTTACCTATTGTCGTTCTGTAATAGTATTAATTTCCAATACATCAATTGTTGCCATGTTCAACCGTTCTTGAATTTGGAGACGGTGAACAATTGAGAGATTCTTATTAATTAGTGAGTTTGTATCTGCCAGAAATTACCAGGATGTGTGACCTTTTAGGAGTAGCTTGGTCACCCTCGTTACACACGATGTACTCAGTATAAATAAAATAGAGAGCACACATCGGTATTGACATATCAGGTCATCGTCATTTGTTGGAATCATGATCCTGAAAAATTCATCTTTCTAAAATGGGCCAGCGAATCGGAAACCACGTCAATGAAATGACGTACCAAAACGTTTTACTTTCTAATAAACGATGTAACGCAACAAGATATTCCCCATTACTTCTGTGGCAACTTTGATTATGTTTATATCGACTACAAACACCAAGCACATAATCAGGATGATCATCTCTGGAAATGGTCTGCAGACTGGATGAGCGTGCTATACATTGGGGAAGTCGAATGGTACGGGCCAAAAAATCGTTGTAATGTTCAAACATGACAGAAATGTGCGTTTATATCTGACCATGCAATGTGTCAGTCTCTATACTTAGTATACACTTCATTGATATTCCGGTGTATCCGACACAGTGAAGGGTGGACCCATCAAACGCGTGAGACCGGCGGGGATAATTGTAAACAAATACTCGATTGAAAGCATTTTCGTAACGAGAATCACACAATTCTCGTAACGGGAAGCTCATTCAAACAACCTCTTTCGTAGTATGTATTGTTCGTGGAATAGAGGAAGCTGTTGGACAATATTGAGGTCAATACGCAGACAATGAACACCAGTGTCAGCATAATTGACACACACTTAGAGAAAAAACTAGACACTTTGTCTATAATATATAAACACGCGACTAGACCTTAAAGTTACACTCTAAACCACTATCGGATACATTCACTACTTAGATCGTTAAAACAATGTTTCTATATATGATGAAACATCCGGACATTACAAAAACAAGCCAGTAAAATAAAGAAGCAACATGCGTGGGAATATATGATTGAAATTCATGCATAGGATGTTTCACGTTTAACCCTACGAACGTGACGGAAAATGTAAATCATCCATGCTTGGCGACAATTTTTA